GCTGTAGCCATCTTGGTTGGGTTTAATTTGCATACTTTCTCTGATTGGCTGGTGGGCATGGCTTGTGGGTGTGGCTTGAGCAGAGTGATGGTTAATTTGCATATTACTCTTTTATTATGTAGGACAACTATTTAAACTCCATTTGTTTCTTTCATCAGGACAGGACCTGTGTTTGTGTTGTCTGTACTTATACCAGGTCCTTAGCACAGCATCTGGCACATAGGAGACACTAAATGCATATTTGTTGGAAGGAAGAGATGGAGAAAGGAAGGAAGGGAGGATGGATGGACAGAGGGAGGGAGAGAGAGGAGAAGAAGGGAGTGAGGGAAAGATGGAGGGCAGACCAGAAAGGGCAAGAAATTAGCTCCTGCCCCTGCCATGGGCTCCGTGTGCCCACGCCAGCTCTGAAACTGCAGGGTGGCCACACAGCCTCACGCTGACTGCTGTAAGAGAGGTGGCTCCTCGCACATGACTCTATGGCTGTGGCCAATTGCCCCCCCCCCCTTCCCCTTGTCCCCTCATAGCTCCCATCAGGCATCTGGGTAAGGGAGCAGCCCCAAGGGAGAGACACATTAGCATCAGACATTGAGAGGGGGCGGGGCAAGTGCCTGGCCTGGAGATGCTGGCGAGGAAGTGGATGTATGCAGACTTCCTGTGAGTGTCACTTCCCTGTATATAATAAAGATAACAGATAATTAACCCCGCGCAGGACTGAGGAGGTTGTCACTGCACACTCAGTGCGGCACTGAGAGCGGTGAGAGCATGGGGGGGCCTCTCCATGGTGTTAGCACCCAGTGAAGTGGAGAGGGCCCGGCGGTGCGGAGGGGCCACAAGCAGGAAGCCAGACACCTGCTCTTCCCAGTTGTGGGAGCACAGAGCAAGAGCTTTGGAGTCTCAGTTTTGCCTTCTGTAAAATGGGGAGATTATACATCAAAAAGTACCACCCAGAAACGTGACATTTTTCACCTTAAAGGTTATCTAAGAGGAGAAATGGTGGTTGTCCTGGGTGGAGGCAGCAGGATGGTTTTGAAAAACTGTCAACAATCGGCTCCCCACGAGAATTCTAGGGTGACAAAGAGGACAGGAAGAGGGGGGTTTTAAATGCTGCTAGATATTGCAAAATAAGAGAGCGATGGAAAAGGTAAGAGGAGAGGAGAGATGGCAGAGGTCAAGGTGCAGGCCCACGCTGCTTCTTTGGAGGTGGGAAAACAACCACGCTGTGGGGAGGGGCAAGGATTATGGGCGATCCCAGGATTGGCGACCCCAGAGGTGAGGGCCCACCAGAGCACGCTTGTTAGACAGCACAGCCACCTGCCCCGAGCCACAGGCTCTCCAGGGGGGCAAAGATGGTTCTCAGGGAGACGCGGGGAGAAGCAGTCATCGTGAGCTGTATTCCAAAGCCAGCCAGAGACGAAGCCTGGTCTCCTGCCATCCCCGAGCATCTGCAGAGCCGTAGAGACTGGCTGAGTCCTTGTCAGAGGATGTCAGACTGCAGAGAGTCCTGAGAGGTCACCCGGCCCAACGCCAGCTCTGCAGAGAGGAAAGCATTTGTCTGCTGGAGGCAATAGTGCCTTTCCACGGCGCAGCACGGCTTCCTGCTGCCATCTGGGGGTTTCGCAGAAAACACTGATATTTCCCCCCACGGGACCCAAGAATGCCAGGACATGAGCTGCCCATTAACCACTGCGGCCCCATGGTGGCAGTTGCAGGGAGGAAAGTGTGAAATGGGTGTTTGTGTGTGGAGACTGCATCTGTCTGCACTTCCATCGTCCCCCACTCACCACCCCCCTGCAAAGGCAGCCCCCGAGAGCTGATGGGGACCATACGCCCTCAGGAGCTATTGCTGGTTGGCCTATGAGTTGCTGGACTCACAGCTTAAAAGCTTCTACACGGGCCAGACCCCCCTCACTCGGCTCAGCTATTAGTTTTAATTTTTAAAGAATCTTTGAAGGATGCTGATTCCCAGGCCTTGCCTCCAGCTATTCTAGTCGGTAGATCTGGGGTAGGGTTCAGGAATCTACATTTTAACAAGCTCCTTCTGCGGGGTTTTCAAAGGTGTGAGATATAGACTGTCTGCCCCACGGCCCAGGTGTCTTCCCCTGAATCACCATCCCCATGGCGTGATTGATTAATTTATGTAGCGCTTCCCATCATGGGCTGGTGCTTCCACCCGGTTGTGTCTCCATCCCAGGCCTTGACTCGCAGGCTCTGAGCTCATTGTGGGAGCTTTTAGCTGCAGCCTGAAAGCGAGTGAGCCGGCTTCGCGTCACCTGAGTAAAGGGCTGGAAACTAGGCCATCGTGCTTGGCTGAGCAGATCCCTTCTTTCCCAGCTGCTCCACCGCCTCCTCCTGTCCACTGCGCACAGGGCCTGGGCCTCCGGGCGCACCCCCGCCCCCTCAGGGCTGAGGCCTGGACCAGAGTGTGGGGGCAGAGGATGCATGCACAGAGAGTCTGGGAGGACACAGGGAGGGGAACACTGTGCCAGGGCCTGCAGGGCGAGGTCAGGGCCAGGTAAGGAGCAGGTAGATGGACCACAGGGACAAGTGGCTGTGGGCAGGGGGGCAGCCAGACACCAGACCAGGGGAACCAGGAGCCATTCTGGGGTCCACCAGGGAGGTAGGCCCCGCAGGCAGGCGTGGCCAAGCTGGGGTTCATTGCCCTTCCCCTTGGCCTTGCAGGAGTCAGGGTGGGAGTCCCTGGGGTGAGAGGCTGCAATGTGCCCCGCCCTCCGCCCACTGCCACTTCACCCCGAGGCACACCAGGTCCTATCTTTGCTGTTTTCTTCCCTCATTGCCTCTGTCTTGTCCTGTCATTGTCTCCTCTTCCTCCTCCACCTTCACCTCTCCTGCCTCCTTCTCCCCCTCTTCCATTCCCCTCTCCCCCTTTTCTCCCCTAGTTTTTGTTTTTCTCTTGTTCTCTCTCCCCCTTTTTGCTTGTCTCTCTCTCTCTTCATCCCCTTGCCTCTCTTTGTGTGTCTCTCTCCCTCTGCCTCTCACTCCTTGTTCTCTCTGTGTCTCTCACTGACTCTCTGTGTCCTCTGTGTCTCTGTCTCCTCCCTCCTATTATTCCCTCCTATGTCTCCCTTTCTCCCTGTCCGGTTCACCTCTTCCGGACAGCTGGCATCCCTGTATGGCTCAATCATGCTGGATTTATAACACCTGGGGGACATGCAGATGCAGGCCGCATGATGCTGATCTCAGAGCTCACGTTCCACCGGGGAGGAGTCAGGGAGGAGGATGCAAGAGTTCGCCAAGGCAGAACCTGGAGGGCCTACTACCCAATTATCCATCCCAAACGCTCAGACACCGATGTTGCCAATTCTCATGCTTGGGCCAAATTCTTGCCTCCCCCTCCCAGCCCCACCCTCTGACTCACTCACGATCCAGATGGACAAGCCTGAGAGAAGGCTGGGCTTGACCAGGCTCCCAGCATGAGATGGCCATCCTCCCTGCCCGGGAGGGTGGGGGAAGGAGAGTCCCTGCCAGCCCTTCCCTCTGAGGACGTCCTCGGGGCCCTCTCCCCTTTGGTCCCCCTGAAAGGAGTGGGGGGAGCCGATCCATGACCACCACCATGTGGAGCTCTCCCCTTTCTTTCTCCTAAACATTGACAGCACAGCCGGGCTAGGCGGGGTCTCTGCGCAAGCTTCAAGCTCCACACGGGAGCCAGGATGATGGAGGGAGTGTTGTCAGGGCTCAGCCCTCCACTCAGGCAGCCACTCTCCGGAGTCTGTCGGCATGCTGGGCCCTGAGCCACACACTGGACTCGAGGCCTGCATGGGCTGGCAGAGAGCAGTGCGGGGACATTGATGCCTGGGGTCCTGACCCTGTGGTGGGGTCTCCAGGGGCTGTGGGAGCAGAGAGGGGCCTGTTCACCTCCTGAGGACGACAAGGGGCTGGGTATAAAATGATCGGGAGAGAGGAATGGAGTGCAGCGGAGGTGCAGAAGCTGAGGAATCAGTCCAAGAGCCTGGTTAGGATGCATAAGCTCAGGGAGAATTAGGTCTGCACTGAGCCAGGCCTACATTCCCGCCTTGCTGCTCACAGCCCAGGGAACAGGCTCCCCGAAAGAGGACAAGCATGACCCAGTGGGCAGGAGGCATGGCCCTCCAGGAGCAGCCCGAGCCAAAGGAATGAGACTGCCCAGTGGGGGTGATTGGCACGTGCACCACTACCTCCTCCCCCACACCCGGAAGGGGAACGTCAGAGGCAAACTCTCCAAGGTTAGAGGTGGCGTTTAAGAGGTGGAGGGGCCCTTGGAAGCAGGACTCTGACCTCCTTCTCAGGAGAAACCGAGGCTCCAGGTGGTGAGTCTGTGAACTAAAGTCACAACAAGCTCAGTGGTGGGCCCAGGCCCAGGCCCAGGCCCAGGCCCAGGTGGCTGTTCTTTTCACACTGTCCTCTCCCACGTTAAGGTATGTCATTTCCTCCCAATGACCACAGCTCCCCTGAGCGCTGGGGCTCCTTGGCTACAAAGGAAGGACCTGGGAGCCAATGGGAGGGCGGTGCAGGAGGAGGTCCCCTCACCAGAAACCCCAATGGAACCTGGGAAAGGAAGTGAGGGAGACATGCACGCTCCCAGCAGGACTCTGAAGACTGAGAGCAAATTGCACATCTTATACCTTCGCCTGGCACTGAGACGCTGTGAGGTTGAGAAGAAAGGACCTGGGCTTAGGAATTTCCGCCTCCTCCTAGCTCTGTGGCCTTGGGCCACCTGCTGGCCTCTCTGGGCCTGGGGTGCTTAGCTGTGAAGTGGAGGCAACAGTCGGTCATCCGCCTCACAAACCGTGGTGTTAGATGAGGGGGATGGGAAAGGGTCTCTGGTTATTGAAGGGAGCCCCTCGGGGTGAGGAAGGCTCAGGAGGTTCCAGGAAGCAAAGTCGCTCCCTCTCCCCAGCAGAGTGGGGTCCTCCGGCCACTGGTGGCTGCACCTTACTCAGCTCCTGTGGGATGGGGGAGTGTGGGGCCGACCCTCCCTCATGACCCTCCTCCCGCCGCTGCAGCTGCGTGGTGGATGAGATGGACTTCTCGGGCATGGAGCTGGACGAGGCCCTGCGCAAGTTCCAGGCGCACATCCGCGTGCAGGGGGAGGCCCAGAAGGTGGAGCGGCTGATAGAGGCCTTCAGGTAGGACCTGCTCTGCGCCCCCCCCCATACACCTCAGAACACACACCTGGGGAGGTGGGGGGGAGGGGGGGAGGGGGGGGAGGAGAGCTGCTGTGGGCCTAGGAGTGGGAGAGGTGGGATAGATAGAAAGGAGGAAGAGAGAGAAAGGGATAGAGCCCCTCAAGCTCTCCGAGCTGGAACAGCACTGAGGCCTGCGTGCATTTTACTCATCCCACAACAAGCAAATCTTTAATGAGCATCAGTGCAAGGTTGGTGTGGTAGGATCCGTGGGTGTTTGACACCTGTCCTGTCCCCACAGAGGGGAAGAAGACCAGGCTGCAAGGTGTGAGGGGCTTGGGGGAGTGGGGGGCTACGAGGTGTGTGTTTGGGGGGGGGGAAGACTAGGGGAAGGGAGCTGCCCGGACCTAAGGCCTGCAGAGCCTGATTCCTGCCCCACAGCCCCCCTTGCTGGAGCTGGGGAGGTTGGGGAGAGGCCTCAGCCCCCGCTCTGTGTCCCCCACCGCAGCCAGCGCTATTGCATGTGCAACCCCGAGGTGGTGCAGCAATTCCACAACCCTGACACCATCTTCATCCTGGCCTTCGCCATCATCCTCCTCAACACCGACATGTACAGCCCCAACATTAAGCCTGACCGGAAGATGATGCTGGAGGATTTCATCCGAAACCTTCGAGGTGAGGAGGTGGGGGCAGCCTGTTCTGTTCAGTGTTCATTCTGTGAGTTTGAGCCCAATTGCAGATTGTCTTCAGTGGCCAAGGGCACTGGACGCTGCCCTCTGGGCCTGGTCACGCAGAGCAGTCTGGGAAAGTTGCCCGCATGCCAGGCACCTGGGGCGTTTCCAGGAGGCACTGCCACTGCCCTGTACCAAGCCGCAAGGGCCCTGGGCAATGTCCTGGCCCTTCACGGACTGTCCTCCATCGGTTGACCTCTAGGCCCCTGGCACTAAAGCTAATGCCTAGTCCTTCCCACTTCGCAACTTCTGAGGTCTCTTCGGTCCTGGGTCCATTTAAGTCAGCCGTGCAGATAGCGAATGGAATCTGCCAGCCAAGTCCTCCTCTTAACACGGTGCGCCACCGGGCAGGGTGTGGTGGTGCACAATTGATTTTTTCTTTATTTTTAGCTTTTTCAAAATAAAAGTTACACGCAAACATAATTTAATAAAGTCAAATAATTCTACAAGGCTTACTAAAAAAAAAAAAAAAAAAAAAAAAAAAAAAAAAAAAAATCAGTCCCCGTGCCTGTTGCCACTCTCCTGCCTTAGGGGCAACCATTTAATTTCCCCCTCGTTCTTGAGTTTCTTCTATATCATTAAATTACATGCTTCCTCCTGCTGCTTTTTTCTTATTCCTTTTGTTATTATAACAAAAAAAATGCATACTGTAAGGTTTATAAACCTGAGATCTTGATGAATGTTTATATTCCTATACAGCTATGTAATCACGCCCAGATCTAAATATAGATCACTATCCTCACCTGGGAACCTTCTCGCAGGTTCTGTTCCATTCAATACCCCTGCCCTTGAGTAACAACTCCTCTGGCCTTCCATCACCACTGCCAAGTTGTGCCAGCTCTGGAATTTCATATGAACGGGATTATACAGTACATATATTTTGGTATGCAGTTTCTTTCACACTCTACTACTTACTCATTTAAAGAAAACAATTAAGTGTTATCTATTAATTTCTGCCTTAGTCTGTTCAGGCTGATAAAACAAAATACCACAGCCTGGGTAGATTATAAACAGCAGACACATTTCTCACAGTTCTGGAGGCTGCCAGTCCAAGGTCAAGGCACAAGCAGATTCAGTGTCTGGTGAGAGCCCTCTTCCTGGTTCTAGCTGATGCTTCTCGCTGTGTCCTCCCAGGTGGAAGGGGTGAGGGAGTCTGTGGGGCCTCTCTCATAGGTGCACTGATACCACTCATGAGAACTCCAGCTTCCTGACTTAAGCACCTTCAGAAGGCCCTGCCTCCTGATACCGTTGGGCATTAGGATTTCAACATATGAATTTGACAGGTACATAAACATTCAGGAGATAGAGTGGAATAAAAGGATTTAGCCTTCTTTCATTTACCTTCACTAACCCATCCCCCCTAAAATTACATCACAACCCCATGCATCATTTGTAGCATCATATTTGTAATGTCATTGTTTATGTTAAACACAAGCCAAAGCTGAGTAAACATAATGCAAAGCTGAGTCTTGAAGTATAAAATGATTACAAATCCTTTCTATTTCTTTTTTTCTTTTTCTTTTTTTGGAGTGAATACTTGTATTCTTTTCCCATGTGTTCAGCTCTTTATGTACCTGCCATTAATTCATCTCCAAACTCTTCACCTCAAGTGTCAAGTTCCTCCAAACACATTGAGCCCCAGCAGGTATTTCCTGAGTTTCATATTCTGGGAGCTGTGTCTCCCGGGGCCTCTAGTTCTGCTCTGGTCTGGACAGCTGCACGGCTGTCATTCTGGTATCTCCCTTCACCATCGTCTGGGGACCCTTCACCTTGCTCCTGTGTTAGATTTCTGTTGCCTACATTTCATAGCTTCCTCTTTGAGAGAGAAGAGGTATACTTCCCCCCGCCCCCTAGGAAAAAAGGTACACTGGAGGCAAATTTTTTGAAAACTTGTGTGTCTGAATATCTTTTCCTATCTTGACTCTTTTTTTTTTTTTTAGTAAATCGGATTAATCCCATCACTTTTTTAAAAATACATTTTTATTGATTTCAGAGAGGAAGGGAGAGGGAGAGATATATAGAACCATCAATGATGAGAAAGAATCATTGATCGGCTGCCTCCTGCATGCCCTACACTGGGATTGAATTCACAACTCACGCTATGTGCCCTGGCTGGGATTCAAACCGTGACCTCCTGATTCATACGTTGACGCTCAATCACTGAGCCATGCCAGGTGGGCTTTTATCTTCACTAGTGATTGGCAATCTCCTTCGGAATAGAATTTCAGATTGGAAACATTAAACACTGAATTTTTAAGGCATTGCTCTATTGCCTTTAACTGACAATGCTAACGAACACTGCCATTCCAATTCCTGGCCTTTTGCTATTATTTTTTTTTTTCTTGCTCTCTCCAAAATGTTATAGGTTCTTCCCTTTGTCCTTTCTGTTCTGAATTTTCATGAAGGTGTACCTTGTGGTGGTGTTTGTTTGTTTGTTTGTTTATTGTTCTAGGCACTGGGTTGTTCCTTTAGTTTAGAAACACAAGCCTTCCAATTGTGGGAAGTTTTCTAAATATTGTATTTGTTCATTTCTCTGTCCTCTTTTTCTGGAACTCTCATTACTCAGATGTTAGATCTCCTAGTTTGATCTTCTAATGTTTACAGTTTTCTACCTGCCATCTTTGTCTTCTAGTTGACTTTCTTGAAGATATCCTTACCTTTCAAGTCTCTTACTAAGTTTTCCGTTTCTGTTGTCATACTTTTCATTTTAAATAACTCATTTTTTCTTCTCTAAATGTTCTTCTTCTATAGCATTTTATTCTTGTTTTATAGATGCAATATCTTCTTATATATCTCTGAAGATATTAATGATATATTTTTATTTGCTTGTTTCAATTTCTTCCTGCTTGCCTCTATTTCTTCTGGCTTCTGTTTTCTGTTTTCCCCACACTTCTTTTCATATGTAGTTGATGAATGGGTGTCTATATTTAAGAGTGAGCCACTAAACAGCTGACTAAATACTATGTGAGTACAGGCGGGCTGCTGAATGGTGGACTAATCATAGGGTGGTTTAGTTGAGCTGTTTCATTGGGGAACCCCTACTGCAGTATCTTTAGATATTTTCTCTTGTGCTGGTTGGAGAGAAATGTCTAATCTGTTGTTCAAAGGCTATGAGTCTGGCTGCCAACATCCTGAGATCTTTGTGAATGAATAGGGTTGGGGGGGGGGGGGGTCTCTTAATATATAGACATCAGTCTACCCCCAGTTTTCAGTGCAGACTCCCTCCTTTGGATGGGCTTAAAGGAAGGACCCGCAACCCAGAGTTCCTGGCTCATTCCTTTCAGAGGATGAGCCTTCAGTGTTCTGCTGCAGTGGAGGAAGGGATAGGAAAACCTAAATGTTTTCTAGATTTTCAACCTATTTTCCTGTTCCCAGCCCACCTCCACCTCCACTTTAAGAGATCTGATTGCCGCCAAATCTAGAGCCCGTCTAGGTTCTGTGGTTCTTCAGTGTCCACTTTCTTAGGTTTGCTAATCCAGTCACTCCTTCCTCTGCCTTCTTGTCATCCCCCTCCCCTTCATCTTTGTGGGTGAAGCCTCTTTTAAAAATTCCTTTTTACCAGAATATTCAGAAAGAGATGTACAACCTTTCATCTTTACCTGGGGCCCCTGTGTATTCTCTCTGGATCCCTGCTTTGTCCTGCCCCAGCCAGATTTCTTTCAGGCCCCCAGGGGTGCTGCATGGCCCATTAGCCCACCTTTAAGGACCAAATACATATACGGAAGAAACAGGGTCAATACAGAGAATGGCTCATAGAAGGTGAATGTCCTCTCAGTTGTAAGAAAACTCCTTTAAGGACACTTGCCGAAGTTAATTAATTTTCATTTTCTTCCTCTTATCAAAAAAGTGTACTGTACTGTTATTAAAGATTTAGAAAAAGTAGAATTTTTATTGCCTCTGTTTCTGCTTCTAAAGAAATTTGTTTTCATGTTGATACATTTCCTGTTAGTGATGTTTGTTACAAGAGTTTTTCCATTGCTGTGAAGTAGGAGATGGGTACAGGGTCTCCTTACCTGCATTGCACATGGGCTGCCTCTGTCATTCAATGTCTACCTCCACCTTCCCATCTTGTCATCCATTCAACAACTAGTTTCTGAGCACCATTCTTCCTTATTGGGAGGGAGGGAAAAGCCCGGGAGGGGGGAAATTCTAAAGGAAATAAGAGAACATTGGCCTTCAAGATGCTCTCATGGTGGGATGGGGGAGAGGAGGTGGACTGCAGAAGCAAAGGCACATGGGAGGAACAGGGAGGCTGAGGGGAAAGGTCTGGGAGGTGGGAATACAGCCGAACCTCACTGCCTCATTCCAGACGAGGCTGGAAATGTAGGGCCATATTATAGCAGTTTTGATGCCTGGCTAAGGGTTTGTCCTTAATGTAATAAATATGGGTGCCAGCCATTGAAGGCTGGGACAGGGCAAAATCAAGGCTACTCTTGGGCATCAATCTGGAAGGGGGCTTCCCCTCTCTGGCTCCAACCTCTGACACCTCTCTCCTCCCCTCCCCGCCTCCTTTCTCTCACCCCAGGTGTGGATGATGGCGCAGACATCCCCAGGGAGCTGGTGGTGGGCATCTACGAAAGGATACAGCAGAAGGAGCTCAAGTCCAATGAGGACCACGTCACGTATGTCACCAAGGTGGAGAAGTCCATCGTGGGCATGAAGACGGTGAGTGCCCGCTGCAGAGCAGTACCCTTGGGGTTCACATCCTCTCCTGTGTCTGCTCAGCTCCCCACCACCTCTCCTCTCATTTCTTTCTTCCTGACATCTCCTCCCATTCGCTTTCTTGCCGTTCAAACACTTTTCCTTTATTAATGCACTTCATACTTACTGAGTCCCTGCTGTGTCTCGTAGACTGCACCCTCTTTTTTTCCCTTGCGTCACTGCCTCTTGTCCAGCTGCTGCAGCGGGAGAGACTGAGCTGAGGTGTGGGGTGACTGCCCAGAGCTCTAGGGTTAAAGCATCTGATAGCTAAATAGGGAGGTTTAGGAAGGAATGGCCCTGGGCACACCTGGCTGGTCCTCCTGGATAGACACAGGGATGGGCTAATGCAGGCTTTGGACTGTGGTGTCCTGAACCACTGGGGTGCCCTTCGGTTGTGACTGTGTCAGAGGAAATATGCTGTGGTTTTGCAGTGATTTTTAAGGTGAGCGTTCTCTGTAGTTTACTGCTCTACTTGCATGCCAGCGAAGGCTCTTTATGCCATAAGTACAAAGGGTGTGGAGTCAGTTCTGGGATCTGTCTCCAGTTCCTCCTCCTGAACTGCTGGGGAGCCCTTTGGGGACCTTGTGGAGGCTGTGCACTGGCTCCGCTGCCCCATGTGTGCAGGGAGGGCCCTCTCTGCCCAGAGCCTGTGTGCTGAGGTTTCCGCGTCTCTGCTCCGCTGATGCCACTGGAGTGGATTCGAGGTGTTCCTATAATCCCCTCCCTCTTGCACACTTGCATTTGGGTGTGCAGTGGAGAGGGAGTGGGGTGCCATCCTGCAGGCCACAGCCTGGGACATGCGGTGCCCTGAGGAAGGTCTTGGAGGAAACGGGTTGGCAGTGACTGGATATGAACAGTCTGGAAGCGCTTATCAACTGTCTTCCCATCCCTTTACCTCCTCTTTACTCCAGCACACTGAGCCCTTCACCCCAGCCGTGCTCCCTGAGAAGCGTGATGAAGGGAAAGGGGAGGTTTAGGGTCCATTCGGGCCGGTAACAAAGCCGTGGCCCTCCATCTGCTGGGAAGTGGGTGCTGTCCTGAGCTCGGGGCGCCTCCTGCTGAGCACGGCCTCTCTCCAGGTGCTGTCGGTGCCCCACCGCCGCCTGGTCTGCTGCAGCCGGCTCTTCGAGGTGACGGACGTGAACAAGCTGCAGAAGCAGGCGGCACACCAGCGGGAGGTGTTCCTCTTCAACGACCTGCTGGTGGTGAGCGGGCCGGCCCCGGGCTCCTCTGCCCTGCTCGGCCTCAGCAGGGACCCCCAAGAGGGGTGGAAGGGGCCCCCAGATTTCACACCGAGTGCTGTGTACTTAGTGGCTGATTTACCTTGTTCGTGGCGTTTTCACATTGTGGGGTGTGAGGTAGCTCAGGTAGGTAGGATCATTGCTAACTTATCAGTGATGAAACTGAGGCAGAGAGAAGCTAAATCACATCCCAGTCACAGTGGAAATGAGCTAGATTCTGACCCTCTTCCTCTCCGTTTAGTGGAAGCCTGGGGCAGGCAGGGGGCAGGGGTGCACGTCATGTCCACAGCAGGGGGTATGGTGCTGGGCGTGGACCTCAATGGGGCATATGCTGTCCCTGGGCCTGAAGGGGTGCTGGTGTGTGTGTGTGTGTGTGTGTGTGTGTGTGTGTGTGTGTGTGGTGGTGGTGGTGGTGGTAGTGGTGGTGGTGTGTGTGTGTGTGTGTGTGTGTGTGTGTGTGTGTGCGCGCGCGAGCGCCTACATCTTTAAGGTACTCATTCTTTGGTCTTTGAAGCCTGGTATCCATTCCACATGTGTTCAATGAGTGCCCATTGTGTGCCAGGCATTAATCTAAGTGCAAACAGTGGTGAACAGGATTTGCTTTCTGTCTTTCCTTCAATCCCCACATCCCCTCAATCCATGAGTCGTGTTGGCACTACCTCTAATAAAACTATCCCAAATCCAACAATCACAATCTGCCACAACCAGGAGCGGTCCCTCCAGAGTGCAGATCAGGCCCGTCTGCCATGCTTCAGACCTGACCCTGGCTTCTGGTGCAGGAGAAGGCAGTCCATGGGCCTCCAGGACCTCTGACCTCAGGCCCCACCCCCTTCCCTGGCTGCTCTGGCACCTTGGGCTCCGCAGGCTGCCTGTCATGGGCCAGGCTCATGCCATCACAGCCTTTGTTCTTGCTGCTCCATCTGCTTGAAAAGCTCCTCCCCTCACCCCACCTCTCCCACCTGTGCCACCACCCTCCCTGCATCCAGTTTGAGCATCACCTCCTTACACAAGTCCTCCCTGCTCACACAAGCAAGGGAACCTGCCAGCCACTGTCTAATCCTTACCCTATTTATTTTCTTCAAGACACTTCTCAGTTTCTGAAATTATCTTATTGATCCATTTCTTTGCTTTTTTCTTTTTTCTTTTTTCTTTTTTCTTATTGTGCTTTATTGACCGAGCCAATCCTCCTCCATGGATAAGCACCCTGAGGACAGGGCTCTCTGTCTCCCGTTCTCCTGTGTCCCCAGAGTCCAGCTCAGGGGAGGTGCTCAATATTTTGTGTGTTGAGCAACTGGCTTGCAGAGCTTTCATTTTAGCAGAGAAGGGAGGTTTAAAAAATAATTAAGAAGATAAATAAAGAAGATAATATCAAATTGAAAGGAAGGTGCTATGAAGAAATAAAACAGGGTAACAGGATCAGGAGTGACAGGTGGACTTTTTTGTTTGTTTATTTTGTTTGTTCTTTAGGAAGGAATCTCTAAGGCGATAGCATTGCATTTCAGATCTAAGTAATGAGAGTAACCCTGCTGTGCAGAAAGCTGTGTGGAAAGGAAATAGCATGAGCAAAGGGCCTGCGGTGGGCTGAGCCTGGCTTATGCTCAAGGACGAGAGTGTGGCTTGAGCATAAGCCAGAGTAAGACAGGGACCAGATCAGGTGGGGCAGGAAGTGTGGCGTGACCTCTTCTAAGTGCAGTGGGAATGGCCCCTGGAGGGTCTTACACAGTAAATACACACACACACACACACACACACACACACACACGCACGCACACACACATTTTGCTGCAGGGGGGCGTTTATATAAGTAGCTATGTGTGTGCAGACGTAGATGTATAAGTACATGTGTGTGGATGTATCCTAAGTACAAAAGTGTGCGTTTGTGTGCATGTATCTTTGCATGCGTCTGCTTGTGTGTTGAAGATCGTCCCTGGAGGTCTATGCATCCGGGCACATGCATGTGAACACCCGCCAGTGCATCTCTGTCTCCCTCTCCTGGACAGATCCTCAAGCTCTGCCCGAAGAAGAAGAGCTCCTCCACATACACCTTCTGCAAGTCGGTGGGCCTGCTGGGCATGCAGTTCCAGCTCTTTGAGAATGAGTGTGAGTCTCCGTGGGACCCGGAGATGCGGCAGAGGATGGCTGGGGGGAGTTGAGGGCTGTAGGGAGTGGGGAGGGACAAGCAAGCCGGCTGCCGCCAGCCTCGCCCGCTGCTGCTCATGGCCCATGGGCCTGGGTCTGGTTTCCAGATTACTCACATGGCATCACCTTGGCGACCCCGCTCTCGGGCTCGGAGAAGAAGCAGGTGCTGCATTTCTGTGCCCTGGGCTCAGACGAGATGCAGAAGTTTGTGGAGGACCTGAAGGAGTCCATCGCGGAGGTGACGGAGCTGGAGCAGATCCGGATAGAGTGTAAGGACACAGTCAGCCAGGCTTCCTGAGGTGGTCAGCAGGGCGGGCGGGCCAGCTCCCAGTCAGCAAGGGGCAGAATGAGCTTGTAGACAGACATGCTGGGCCTCCTTCCCCCACTTTGGTGTGAGTGCAGGGTGAGCCAAGGACCCTCCTGCCGTCCTGAACCCTCCAGGCCCACTGCACCGTCATGGCTCCCCACGGCTGCACTGCTCCTCTGTTTCTTCTCTGGTAAAGTGAGATCACTAGAGCTGTGTGCGTGTGCTCACCTGCCAGGTTGGGGGGGTGGGGCAGATGCACCCCTTGCAAGTGAGAACTCCGCTAGTTGGAAGGGACACTGAGTGAGCCGGCCAAGGCAGGCCTGCAAACCAAAGAGGTCCGGACCTGGCTTCTCTCCCGTCAGATTCCCTCCGGCTTCTCTCCTGTCAGATTCCCTGTACAGCCTCTTCCCCTGGGCCCAGTCCAGGTTCACACACTACATCTGGTTGTTTCATTTCTTTCTTCTGCTTTCATCTCAAATAGTCATCCCGCCTAGTTTTTCATGGCGTGCTTTAGAAAGCCCAGGCTGGTTTTCCGACTGCCCCTCACCGTGGTCTTTCTGTTCCTAAGGAAAGCCTTGGTTCTTGACAACTCCAACTCAGGCGGTTAGAAAACATGGGACTCTGGTTTACTGGTTGCTTTTTTACTTATGTCCATTTGTAAACTTTAACTGTTTAAGCACTGCTGTTGCTTCAGATAGCCTTTCAGACAAGAATGGATTCAGAAAGTAAAACAGAACATAAAACTAAACTTCAGGTCTGCCTTATACAGCCACTTAGTTGAAAAGTATTTCTAAAAATCATAAAAATGTACCCTGGCTTGGTAGCTCAGTTGGGTGGAGTGCTGTCCCATACAACAAAATTTTGCAGGTTCGATTCCCAGTCAGAGCACATTCTAGGTTGTGGGTTTAATTACTAATCAGGGTGCATAAGGGAGGCAACCAATCATTGTTTCTCCTCTCTCTCTCTCTCTCTCTTTCTCTCTTCCTCCCTCTCTCTCTCTCCCTCTCTTCTTCTTTCCCTTCCTCCCTCCCTCCCTCCTTGCCTCCCTCCCTCTCAAAATCAATAAACATATCCTCTAGTGATGATTAAAATAAAATCATAAAAATCTACTAAACAACAGGAGAGGCAGTGGGAGTTTTGGAGCCAGGGCTGTATTACATAGTATTGCTTTTTAATCAGTATTTGAGATCACGTACTATGTGCCAGGCAGTTTCTTATGTTCCCCTAATCCTCACACAGATGCAGCACAGTGGGTGCATTGTCCCCATTTGCCAGATAAGACAGAGACGTTAGCGGGTATGTCCAAGGCCATGCATATTAAATGCAGAGGAGCTGGAATTTGCATTTGTCTGATTTTGAGGTACTTTCCACTCGGGGAGGGAGAACAGAAGATTTGTTAACAATCTCCTAAGAAAACAACCAAAAGTAAATCAAGTTGAAACAAGAAAACCGCACTAGACCAGCCTATATAACTCCAGTCACTGGGTGGAGGGAGGGTGTGTGAATTCCCTTCTGGCCTGCTAGAGCTCACAGGGTAACCAACAGCCTCTTTCCAAGAGGGCTGGGCCGCATGTTCAGAGATGCCACCTCGGCCTTTGATGTCGAACTGAAATGGCTTCACTTCTCTCATTGTCAGAATGTCACCCGTGGCTCCGCACGCCCCGGGGAGCACAGTGGTTCCCTGGGCACCAGCCGTAGGGGAGGGACACCTTTTCCCATCCGCCTGCGGGCAGACACCGTGTACAAAGGAGTAGACATCGCCAGAATCCGCATGCCAGGAGCTGAATATCCTCCTGCTGTCTAGAGGGAAGGGATGTAGGGAGACCATCTAGCTCTTATTCTTCAGATGAGGAGGGAGGAAAGGCGAGCTGAGGGAAGATGCAGAGCTGGGCAGGGAGGCAGGGAGTCAAGGAGAAAGGAGGAAATGAAAATCAGCCACAGCTACCGTTTACTGAGCACCAATTTCCCCAAAGCCGAGAAAACCCCTCTGCGGGGAGAGGAGCGAAGCTCCGTTCAGTAAAAGTATTTCGTGTTGATTGATGCTGTGATTCCGGCAGTCGGGACAAATGGCTTTGGGTCGGGGGTTTGCAGGCTGTGTCCCTGGATTATAGACAATGAGAGAGGCAGGAAATGGGGCCCAGGAGAATAGCTTTAATAAAAGGAACTTGAGTTATGTCTCCTGGAAGAGAGAGGCTGGAGTGATTTAATAATGACTGTCAAATCTCCGAGGATGGTAACTGGCAGTTCTCTAGCAGCACCCAGAGCACAAGGAGGAACGGCTTCACAGTCCAGAGAGAAAAATTGAAATTGAGTGCCAGACTCAGTTGAGTACCAAGACAGATGCCCTGGCCATGCGGGCTGTGCAGCACCACATACCCCCTCCTCCCCCGCACACGGCCCCCTCCTGGGGAGACTCAGAAGACCCTGTGGAAGCACCGCAGGCTGGGCGCTCAGAGCCCAGGGGGGCATGGCGGGCAGGCGGGCAGCCTAGACGTCACCACAGAGTCTGCTGTGCCCAGTGCGTCTTACACGTTGTAATGACAGATATTAATTGAGCACTTGCCACCGCCAGGTCTTGTTCTAACTGCCTCTATATATTTTCTCGTGTAAATCCCCTTAGTGATGCTGTGACCTGGGCATTGCTGTCCCTCAGTGCCGCATGGAGGAGTTCAGTAACTTGCCTAAAACTGCACAGAAAGTGTCAGAGCCAGGGTTCAATCCCACACAGCCCTCCTTCCTCTTCTCCACCCCTTCTACAGCCAAGCAGATATTTCTTCCCCATACACAGATGAAGAAACGGAGGCTCCAGAGGGTAGTAATGGCCATGAAGTGGGGTGCCAGACTCCGAGGCCCATGTTCTGTAGCCTGTGTCAAGGATTCGTCCTCATCCTGCTCTCTCTGCTTCTCCGTGTGTTTTTTCTTGTGGTTGAGGTTAGGGTTTCTCTCCATTCCCCAGGGGAGCTGGAGAAGCAGCAGGGAGCAAAGACACGCTCCAAGTCCGGAGGAGCCCAGGTGGACCCACCGCCGAAGCAGGGATCGCCCACAGGTGAGCCGAGGCCCTGATCGGGAGTGTCAGGCCCTGGGGCTGGCGGGCTGGGCCCGGGAGGGCATGGAGGCCACTTTCCGTCCCCAGGCGGGGGTTTGGGTGAGGAAGTGCTCATTTCAAAGGCCATTTTCCCCTGCTGAGGGGCTCCAGGCTCACTCCCAGGGGCCTTCACAGTGGGAGTGGGGAGGAAGGAGAGGGACTGCCCCACGGCCTGGCATCCACCTGCTGCCCAATGGGGAGTCAGGCCTGAGTCCCTGTAGCCCTGGTCCTCGCGAGGACGCCTTCCGCCCTCACACACCCAGGCTCTCGGAAGACTGCTGTGTCCCGGGGGTGCTGAATTGTCCAGACGAATGAAGCCGACTTTCGGCTTTATACCCACATTGGCCATGCTCCCAGGCCTGCTTCCTGACGCATTCTACCTACCTACCCCTGCTCTCCCCTCACCCCCACCTTCAGGGAGGGCGTACTCCACCTTCACAGTCCCCGATGGAAAAGAATCAGGAGAGAATTAAAGCCCATCGCCTCAAACCCCCGGCAAACTACCCAGAACTGTGCGCTCATTAATTCATTCAGGCACCTATTCTTACATGCCACAAGCACTCCGAGTGCCTGCTGTGTGTCCCGCGCCAAGCACGGGGGAGCCGGGGTCCTAGCAAGACATCGGCTTGAGCCCAGAAACCCCAGTGGGTTTCATGCTGGCCACGCCCTCGGGGACGGCCAGGAGGCCAGGCTGCTGCAGCGTGCGTGCTCACAGGGCGAGTCACAGCAGCTGGGAGATGGGACTCGTGTTCCGGGCCGGACCCAGGGTTCTTTGAGTGGCATGCAGATGCTGTCTGTGACGTCACCTTCTGTACTGGAGTGCGACCTGCCATCACGCATTCGTGATTCTCCCCACCCCACGCCCTTTCTTTCTGTCAGGTCACAGCTGCTTGTTCCCACAGCTGTTGAGCTCCAAAGCTGAGTCACAGCTGTGAGTGACTCCCCAACAGCCCCCTGCACACTGCAGCCCAGCTGCCTCTCTGAAGCTGCAGCCCTGGCCAGACCAAGTGTGCGTCTCCAGGCCTGGCCCCCAGGCCCTGTCCCCCAGACCCTGTCCCCCAGGCCCTGTCCCCCAGACCCTGGCCCCCAGGCCCTGGCCCCCAGGCCCTGGCCCCCAGACCCTATCCCCCAGACCCTATCCCCCAGGCCCTGTCCCCCAGCCCCTGTCCCCCAGCCCCTGTCCCCAAGACCCTGTCCCCAAGACCCTGTCCCCCAGACCCTGTCCCCCAGACCCTGTCCCCCAGGCCCTGTCCCCCCAGACCCTGTTCCCCCAGGCCCTGTCCTCCAGGCCCTGTCTGTCAGGGGCCTCCAAACACTTGATCCCAACACTGGCCCAGCTCGCTTTTGTGCTACAGAAAGCTGAGAGATGGGAGCAGCATGGGAGCTGACAACCTCTCCAGGGGGTGAGACTAAGAGGGGTTCTGGCAGAGGAGCCCTGGAATGCCTGCTGGGTGGGGTGGGCAGGGAAGGAAGATGACTGAGCCAGGAAAAGTCATCACGTTGTCCCTGGGGGTCCACAGGGTCTCTGGGGCAGCGCCAGGCCGTCATCCACGGTTCCAGAGCCATCGTGGCTCTCCGTGCCAGGCCCTGCGGTCTGTGCTTGGAAGCCTCACTTCACTGAATCCCCACCAGTGGGCCAAGCAGCGGGGATGGGCACAAAGAAGGAACAAAGAAGCGGCCCCTCCCTCACACACGGGAGCCTGGGTTTGAAGGAGACGGATGAACGTGGTGCCCACTAATGCCCAGTAGAGCCTCCTTGTGTTCCTGGGAGCCAAGAACCAATGCCAGCTCATAACCAGCCTGCACAGTCCATGTCGGGAAGGCTCCACAATGCCCATGTTAGGCGGAATCTCAGGGACCTTCTGGTGTGTGGAGGCTCAGAGAGGTGTAACATCTTGCCCAGGGTCACACAGCTGGGCTCCCTGCCAGGCAGTGACCTGGCTGCATCTCACCTCTCGTTGTAGGCATGCTCAGTTGGAGGGTAGGAGGATAGGAGGGGCGTCTGTATCGGGAGGGTGGAGAATGAGCCCTGTGCTCTTTGCATTCAAAGCCAAGAGGGAAGCTGCGCTGGGCGAGAGGCCGCCGGAGAGCACGGTGGAGGTGAGTGGAGGCCTGGTTGCCGCGGTGAGTGGTTCTGTGCCCTCGCTTGTCCTTCTCACCGTCTCTGTTGTTTCTCTTCTCAGGTATTAATCAATGCCTCCCCAGCCCGACTCACCACTTTACCAAATTCAAGAGATACAATTAAAAGTTACCGCTAGCATGGGTAATGCCACTGTTCAGCGCCTAGTTTAGCTGCAGGCCTTCCTCCCAGCCCCAGCCTGGCCCGGCTGATCGCCCTCCAAGGCCCAGCTCCCAGACCAACACCCACACACCCCAAGCCCCGTCACAGGCACACTGCTCACTGATCCCCCAACACGTGCTGTATCAGAGAACCCACTGCCCCCCTCCCCTGCCCCATGCCTCTTGGACCCTGCCCTCCGGTGCCTCTGGGAGAAGCTGGAGGATAGAGCTTCTCCCTGGAACAGCTGGTCTATCTGGAAAGTGAGCCTCAGGGTAGGGTGTGTGCAGGAGAAAACGAAGCAGAATGCTTTGGGGTTGTCTTAGGGGTTTTCTGGGGGAGAGCAGATCTCTCTGGAGACTGTCCATGTGAGAGGGGAGCCCATCCTCAAGCCACACGGGAAGGACTGGGGCCGTAGCAGCAGCAGCCACTCCTCCCCAGGCACCAAGAGTCACCTGCTTACTGCTGCGAGCCCTGTCCTCCTGTGCTGGCCCCTCAAACCCCAATGAGCCTCCTCGCTCCTTTCCTGCCAAGCCTCCAGGGACCACTAGCTGCTCACACAGACACCTCCTTTCCCACTGCCTCCCACCCCAAGCTGGAGGAGTCCCCACGTAGAGGTCTGGGGAAGGAGATCTGACTAAGCTCAGGGAGGCCCCAGGATTCCCAGGGGAGCCCAGTGTCTCCCGCTCCCCATGGCCCCCCTCTCCCACACACCTGTGTCTGGAGGAGGCACCTTTACACCGAGGAGCTTCCTGCCCCAGCAGCTGACCAGCCCCCAGGGTGGGTATTCCATCCCCCGCCCCCTCCGCTCCCCATCTTCCTGCAGCTGCCCATCCTCTAGCCTTGCAGATAAGCACAGCAAGTTGCCAGCCCTCGGGTTTGTTCTGCCAGCCTGCCCGCGCCTTAGCAGGACCTGCACAGGGAGGACCAGCGCTCTGGTGTCCCGTTCTCCCCTTCTTCCTCCCCAGAGGGCCATGTGGCTATCTGCAAGGCTGCCACCCCAGCTAGCCCCAGGGCCCTGCCAGCCTCTGCTCCCGCACAGAGGGCAGCCTCGCTGCCCCCCTCTCAGCTGGACCCTGAGCTCCTTTGTCCTCTGCCCCCTCTCTGTCCTTCCTCATTGCCTGGCCAAGCCCCTCAGGGAGGCGCTTCTCCATCTTCCGGGCTGCTACTCATGTTCCATCCCGAATCTATCTCTCTCTCTCTCTCTCTCTCTCTCTCTCTCTCTCTCTCTCTCTCTCTCTCTCTCCCCTTTCTTCAGCAGGGAGGTGGGAAGGGGGTCAGAATGAGATGTTTTGCTATCATTTCCTGCTTTTCACTTACTATTAAAGATAAGGGGTCAGGCTGGGTGGGGAGGAGGGAGGTGAGACAGTGGAGGTGAGATCAGACAGGGAAGTGAAGAGGAGGGGCAGGATGAGGCCCAGAGCTTTGGGCTACCTGGGGGAGGCTGGGGAGGAGGAGGAGGAGGGCTCAGGGAGTCTGGACTGGGGCGGCTAATCATTTGCTGGGGATGGGGCAGCCATAGAGTCTCAGGGGGTGGGGGGAGCAGAAGGGACACAAGCCCTTCCCTGCTGTCTTAGCCACTTTCCCCCTGGGAAATAGGCCAGAATAGGAGCAGGAGAGAAAGGGAGATTGTCCCCACCCCCACCCCCCAGCAGCAGTGGACAGCGAGGGCCACAGAGGGCTCCCCGGGAGGGAAGTGGCCAGCCATGCTCTGCCCGCCCTATGTCTTGGCAGGGCAGGGCTTGGGGGCCCCTTCATTTGTTTGGGGGATCTCAGGCCAGGAAAGTGCTGCCCAGGTTGGAGGCTGAAAATGAAGAGGAAACACTGCAACATGCTGAGCGTGGCTGGGGCGTGTGACTATGGAGGGGCAGACAGATGGGGCTCGGAGCTGTGAAGAGGGACCCAGGAAAGGGGGTCACTGAAATTGCACCTTTTGCCAATAAATAGAGTTAAGATCTGCTGGTGAGGGCCCAAGGATTGTTTTGGGCTGGGCCGTCCTGGTCTAGGCCTGGGGATAAGGTCCTCTCCCTGCAGCCTGGTTTGGAGCAGCCTGTCCTGGGAGGCTCCAAGGACAGTAAAAACATCCTCAGAGAGCAGGGGCTCGGGTGTCGGGAGGGGTTTGGCCTGGGGGGGGGGGGCACCTCTTCACTCCCCACCTAGGAGACAGGGATTAGAGTCCTTTCTGGGCGCCCCCTCCCGCTGCAGAGTGAGTTTAACCAGGAGCCGGGTTGGGCCATAAAGGCAGCCAGGGATCCGACTCCGGCCTTTGCTCTCTGGGCTGCTCTTGAATGTGTGGTCATGGCCTTGGGAGTCTGGGGGCAGAGGGAGGTGCAGATCACCCCTCAGGGCCCCTGGCATTCTGGGGTTTGGGTGCCTTCGTGATGCCTCCAGTGACCACGAGGCTTCCCCTCTAACACAGCCAGAGGAAGGAGAGGGCTGGAGAGTGTCAGGTGCTTAACCCTGTTCCTGAGTCCTCCCTTGGCTCTCAACACGCCCAGGGAGGCAGGGAGGGAGCAGGGACCCTTACCCCAATTTTACAAGCTCAGGAGCTGGCAGAGAGGGAGGTGGGGAGAAGTTTGTCCATAGCCCACAGCCACCCAGCAGGGCCATGAGTCACTGCAGAGCGATGCAGAGCCTGAGTGAGTCTATGTTCCAGCCGCCCGCCTCACAGATGGGGAGGCTGAGGCCGAGCGCACCGAGGCTGCTCAGGGTGGTGGCAGAACACAGCGCTCTCTTGACTGCAGGGAGGGAACCTCTGTTGGCTGCCAGTTTTCCTCTGGTGGAGAGATGGGGAGTGGGTCAAGTGAGGGCTGAGAGCCCTGATGGGCACAGGAGCCAGGGGAGGGGAGAAGGGAGGCTCAGGGTAGCCAGTTCTAGTAGCTGGGAATTAGTCTTGTAACATTTCATGCTTCTCTGGCTGTTTCTAAACTAGGTGTCAATTCACAACAGGCTTCAAACGTCCCAACACAACTCCGGGCTGGGGGCCGAGAGGAGAGCCCCAGTGCCGCCACCGCCAGACCCACAGCCTAGCCCCCCGAGAGAGCAGCCCCGGCCGCTGCCGCCATCGCCACCCACGCCCCCAGGGACCCTGGTGCAGTGCCAGCAGATTGTCAAGGTCATTGTCCTGGACAAGCCCTGCCTGGCCCGCATGGAGCCCCTGCTCAGCCAGGCTCTCTCCTGCTACGCCTCTTCCTCCTCTGACTCCTGTGGCTCCACACCCCTGGGCGGCCCGGGCTCCCCGGTCAAGGTCATCCACCAGCCCCCACTGCCCCCGCCCCCACCCCCCTACAACCACCCTCACCAGTACTGCCCGCCAGGCTCCCTGCTGCACAGGCGCCGCTACTCCAGCGGCTCCAGGAGCCTGGTGTAGACTGACCCCCACACTGCTGCCCCTGGGCGCTGCCGCCAGGGCCAATGGGCTATACCCAGGAGCCCCGGCCGCCCCTTCCCTGCTCCCCACACCCCAGCACGCTGTGTTCCTGGTCACCGTCATCAGTCCTCCCCTGGCAATTGGGTTTGCCTCACCGGACATGCTCCCCTCACTCAGTTGAACACCCCCTCCCTTCAATCTGATGACACCGCTGTACCCTCGGGGCCCTGCACAGCCGCGTGGCCCGGCTTCCTCCTCCTCCTCCTCCTGCCACCACTCACCAGGGGGACCATGGACTGGCGGGGATAAGAACTGAGGACCTACCCAGCTCCTGGGTCCTGAGTCTGAGTCTGTCGGGCCCTGGGCCTCAGGCTGGGAGGGTGGGACAAGGGGCTGGGAGCCAGTGCCCAGCTCCGGACAGAAAGTGGCCTGGCTGCGCGCTCAGCTCTAGGTGCTGCGCTGAGTGCAGGAGAGTTATCCCTGGAGGGACCAGGGAAGTGGGAGTGTGAGGAGGGGCCTTTTTCTGCTGCTCCTGCCCTGCCCCCCACGACTGGCAGACGCAGGAGGTGTGTCTGTCCACAAGGATGTTGGTTGTCCTCCCCCTCCTCCCAGGGCCTGCCCTTACTCTGGAGCTGGGCCCTGCCTGCCCAGGGCTGCACAGACTCCAGGAAAGCTTTGCGAAAGGGAGGGAAGAGGGGGACCCGTCTCAGCTCTCTCTAGGTCAGTCCAACCGGCTGTGGAACCGTGAGGTCATTTATCTAAAATGAATCTTTTTTAGGGTTTTAGTTCCCCAGCCCCACAGGGTTGGTTTCTTCCCCTGTGGCAGCAGAGAGGGAGGAGGGGCCATCTCCAGGGGCAAATGCAGCCAGAGGAGGTAGATGGGGAGAGCCTGCGACCTCTCGCATGGCTTCCGTGGCCTCCACGGGGGATGTGGATGCAGAACTGGGCGGGGGGAGCAGGTGCTCCACACGCACTTGCGTTTCCCCTGCTGCCATCCCACACTTGCCCTCAGCCTTTAACCTTCGCTGCTCCCCGGCACCCCCAGGAAGGCGCCTCCTGGAGAGTCCCTGCACTCTCAACATTGCATAGGAGCGCCAAGCGGCTCTCACCGACCCCCTCAGGGCCAAATAGCATTGGGAAGTCCACCTTTAGTTGACCCCACAGACCTGGGCAGCCCCCTCAAGGGCCGCAGGAAATACCAGGGCCCCAGTCACGCCCTTTCAGGAAGTGTCTGTCCAAACCGGGCCAGATTCCAGTCCTGGGCCATCATTCCAACGCTGTCCTTCCTCCAGCTCCCCTCCTGCTTGGAGCCCATTATCGAAGTGCCCGAGGCGGAAGTGAACGTGGGCCAGGTCTGAGTGAGTGTGCTTCTCCGTGACCCTGCCCCACGCCCCAAATGCAGTGCCCTGGGCCAGCTGGAGACCCCGGTTTTCCCCCCATGCTCAGAGCTTCCAGACGGCCTGGTTTCTTGTGTGTGTGTGTGTGTGTGTGTGTGGTCACCAAACGTCATTATGGCATCACCCCGAGAGTTTATTTCTAGCCCCGTCTTTGTCATCCTGGGATCCGTAACTCGTGACCAATTTGCCGTCTCCTCCATGCGGCTCCCCAGCAGGGCTGCTTTTGTCCTTGCTGTCCTGGTCCCTCTCTCGTGTCTCTACTGTAACAAGGACACTCCGATCAGAGCCTTTCAGAACAGAGTGGCTGACAGATGGGGCCACAAATTGCGACAGGGCAGGGATCACCCGTAAAGAGTGCCAGCGGAGAGCAGGAGCAGAGCTGGGTGGGAGTGGATGAATCTTGAATAAGGGGTGCTGGAAGTAGAGTGGAAGTTAGTGGGTGGGCAGCAGGGACTATGAGTTCTGAAGGAAGGGGGTGGGGGTTGAGGTGGCTAAACCTGATTATGGGATGGGGGCCACGAATGCCAGGGGCTGGTGAGGAAGCAGCAGCCCCTCCCGTCAGGCCCCTTGTCACCGCCCACATACAGCTTCTCATTGACAAAGTGCTCTCCTCCCTGTCAGTGGGCACGGCAGCCCTGGCCCCTGCCTCCCACCTCTGCTGCCTCCATGACTCTCTGACAGAACCTCAGAGGTCTTGGGGATGGAGCACACAGAGCCTTTCTCTGAGGACCCGGATGCTCGGGGGCTGGGGCTTGCCCCCGGGCACTGCGGTGGCTTCCCTGGGCCCCTGGCAGCACTGGGAGCCCTGGCCGAGGAGGCAGGCCAGCCTGGGCTCTGCAGCACAGGCCAAGCCTGAGCCATGAGGCTTGTCATCCCCAGGGGCCTGGGCCAGGGACAGCTGGCCCTCCTCACTGTTAGGGAAGCAACAACTCCCAGTGTCTGCATCCTCTCCCCCCACTGCTCTGCCAACAGGCTAAGGCTGGGACCTCCTCTGCCCCCGCCCCCAGAGCCTAGTCCCCCCAGAAACCTGGGACAAACCTCCTGCCCTCGCAGAGGCCCCGCTGGAGACGTTCACGGGGCGCCCTGCTCTCCCAGGGCTGAGGGCAGTGGAGTGCTGACTGAGCCCCAGACACCGCCCCAACATGGCCCCACTCTATCAACGCTCTAGGCCTTACTTTGGGGGGCCTGAGCCCCTTTCTCAATGTTATCCATTGGGCTCCAGATCCAGAATCAGGAGTGGACACGAAATGAGCTTTCCCACCCACTTTTGGGCAAGTCCCACCTCCAGACCTGGAGTGAGGCCCTGCCTGGGCAGCTTGACCTGGAAGCCTGCCTGCCTGCCTGCTTGTGTCCAAAGGCACATGTCTGACGCCCGGGCCCTTGACCCCACCCCACCCCACCTCACCTGATCTCCGTAGCTGCCAGAATGTCTCTTGTACCCGCTAGCTGCTGTGATAACCATCTGTCTGTCTGCCCTGCGTTCTGCTGTGCGTCCCTCCCTGCTGCACCTCCTCACCTCACCCTGTTGGAGAGAAACCTCTCTAGGGAAGGCAGGGTGGCTGCACCCAGCGACTAATCCAAATGGCAAATATTTTGTAACAAAATAGCCCAGAGGTATTTTATCTGTTCAATTCATAGAGTTTTAGAGATTATATTGAAATATGTCACTTGAGCAAACGGTGTCTGTTGTGTTTCTTTTGTTTTGCAGGAGGGAGGGTCCCCCTTCCCTCAGAGTGTGTAAGTGGGGAGGGCCCGAAGCGGGAGGACCGCCTGAGGTTCTCAGCCCTGGGCTCTTTCAGGGGCAGCGGGGCTGCCGGGCTGGTCTGCTCCGGCCACAGTGGCATCACCCCTTCACCCCAGGGAGACACCCTTCTGAGCTCTGCTGTGGCACGACTAGGAAGTCCTGTCTTAAGTTAATGGGGCGGAGGGTCATCTGATGGGTGGGCACAGGGTTGGAGCTAGGGGTGCAAGGCCCACTAACACACACACACACACACACACACACACACACACACACACTCAGCTTTGAGCCAATCGAGAGAGTAGGTTATAATGGGGACCAGAGGCACTTTTGGAGGGATCACCGTGACGGCCAGCGTGCACCCGGCAGGGTGAGAGCCGGGGACCAGGAGCGCATGGGCCCTGCTTGGCTCTCTGTCATGGGAGTGCGGGACTGTTGAGAGGTCAGGGTCCCACTGAGCATGCTGGGTCATCACCCTTAGGTGACTCACCAGACATCGGCTCCAAAAGCCTGACCAAAGCACAGCGTGTGCTGTGTGACAAGCCCCGGGGTGTACCACTCCGCAGCGGAGGGGGCGCAGACCCGGTGAAAGGATCGGGGGATATTGTTGGGAAAAGTGCACGGAGCCATAGAGCGCAATGGAGCAAACGTTTACCGAGCCCCACAGTGTGCCAGGTGCCCTGCTGGCTGCCGGGAGGGGTGCCAGGGCTCTGCGGAGGGACACAACAGCGGCCAAGTGGCTGCAAACCAGGAGGGCCGGCTGACACCAGGTCGCTTGGCGAGCGTCCATAGCTGCGTCAATGTTCAGCTCAGCCTCCACTACGGGCTTGGCACAGAGTGACCTCTTCTGGCTGCGAGAGGAGAGCCTTCCAGCCGAGCTGAGGCCAGAGCCGCCGCCAGTGGTAGAAGTGCAACTGGCCACGATGGCTGGTCCCGTCAGGCTCACAGCCAGCTCCCCTGGCAACTGGAACTCTGAACACCCTGAAATCTCGATAGCTCCCCAGGCTGGGTCCCCTTATTTCCTTAAAATGAGAGAAAACTCGACTTCACCCCCCTTCCGGAAAAAGGGAATTTCCAGGAGAAGCCTGGGGCCGGCTATGACCTGTCACATCCTGGGAACTCTCTGACCCCGGGGAGGCTGAGCTCCAGCCTCTTGAGACACCGCTGAGGGGACCAGCTGGGCTCAGGCCTGGGAGGACTAAGGCTCACAGGACCTGCTGCCATCTGTGCGGGGTGTGGAGTGGTGCCACTGTCCTCACAGCCGCTGCCCCTGACAGAGCCCCCTGGGATCTCAGCCTGCCCCTGCCCCCCTCCCCGTTCCATCGGTCACAGGGAGGGAGAGCAATGGCCCGTGTGGCTCCCTTATAGTGACCGTCTAGATGGAAACTCAGCTGCTGACTTGGAATGTTTCCAATAAGGCGCTTGGGATTTCCGGTTTCTGGCTGAGAGCGACGGGCCAGGACGCGAGGCCAGTGCTAGAAATCAGGGAAACGCAACCAGCTCATGAACATGGCATGTACCAGGGGCTGGTCTAGGTATCAGGATAGGCCCAGAACGTGACAAGCCATGCCTCTGCCCTTGAGTTCCCACTGGGCAATACCCTCAGAAATCAACAAGCAGACCGGCTACTGTCACACAGACGGTGGTACAACAGGGGTGCTGAGAGGGCTGCTGGACAGTGAACCAGCAAGGAAGGTCTCTCCGAGGGGCCAGACTCAATAAGGCGAAGGTCAGGCTCCAGGGCAGGTGAGCCATTCAGAGACCACCTCTGGGGGAGAGTCTGCTAAGGACCATTCCCTGATGCATGAATTTACTTACCTGAAAATTCTTACTAAATCTTACTGAGATGCATTTTACAATCTCCTTTATTAAGGAAGTAATGAAACTGGAAAACCCAGGGCAAATGTCACCACAATCAGTGGGAAAGGAAGGGGCTGACAGCAGCAGGCTGCCACTGGAGATGGCAGGTGGATGAGGTAACATCAAAGGCTGGGCTGCAGCAGGAGGAGCCAGACCCCCAACTAGGCCCCAGCCGCCAGGACAAGCTGTCAGGGCAGTTCCTGATCAGGAGGTGCCACCAGGGCCTGGTGAGCCTTCAGGAAGCCCTCAGTCCACCTCCTCTCACCACCCCAATCCGAGGTCATGTTTGCTATTTAAAATAATAACATGGTGGACTTCATAGCCTAGTACCCACTCGCTCCTGGGATTGACAGCCCTTCACACGCAGCGGGAACAACGGGAAGCTGTAGTAAGACTGATGTCCCCTGCAGCAGCCAGGCAGGGCCTGAGCCTCGCTCCCCTCCTCCTCCCCCCGCCAACGCAGGCATGCCTAATGGATCAAGCTTCCCAGGAGTCACCATCAATCAATGTACATCGACACCCAGCATGAAATTAACTTGCCACCCAGCCCTGTCACCCTGTCATCCTCCTTGAGCCACCTTGAAGGCAGGCATTTCGGAAGCTGTGAGCTATGAGGCCGTGAGCCTGGGAAGGGAAGCAAGGAACAGCGGCAGGAGAGGCTCAGGCCTCAGATTGCTCGTGGAAAGGGCTTTGCTTTGCTCCTTAGCTCAGCAACACTCTGCCCCAGGGATGCTCAGGGCTGCTTCCTGCTAGGATTCACCACTCCGGCAGCTCTAGCTCACTTCACTTGCTCCACTCACCTCCCACCAGCTCCCTCTGCTCTGACCAGAGATGGAGCCCCTGAGGTACAGATGGCAGCCAGTCATAGCTGCAGATCGGGAAGGCCAGGGAGAAGTCATCAGGGGCTCTCCTTCCCCGGCCAAAACATGGC